AATGTTGTTAGTCATTTCAACTAGTGACCAACCTTCTAAATATGAAATAAACTAGCAAATGAAGCAAGCTCAGAAGCCATTTAACCCTATAAGACAGCTCTAAGATGTAGTGTGCAGTGCTTATGTGAAGGAAAACTTATTTAAAAGACCCCATGATACAGCCGGTCAGATTAAATCAACTTTAGTTTTCACTATTTTTACTTACATAATTTTTAATGATTCAGTGGAAGGGGGATGATTTTGTAGGGCAACATAAAGATTGCTTATTCCCAAGTAATTGTTATTGGTTGCAAGATAAACAAATATTCAAAAGAATTTTTCCACCTGCCAAGGAATATCTGCCTCCTGCACAGTTTTAGAAGCAGCTACTCACATGAAAAATATAGGATATGAACAATGACATTCAAAAAAAGAAGTTGGAAGATATCTTGTTTACAATTTATTTGGACTGTAATTCATTCTACTCTTATTTTTCAAACCTTGTGACCTGAAGATGAATTTATAATCCCACAACAATGATGTAGCATAAATAAATAGATGAAACAATCCAGCAATGACAAAAAGTATCAATGTCATTATCAATCAGGCACAGGGAGACAGTGAGGGTCAAGCACCATGCAAGCATATAGCTGCTAAATGGTCAATTACATTTGTTTGTAGCCAACCGGTAGCCATTAATTAGGCATTGCTGATTTCACTCTTTTTGGGCTAATCCTCATTGCTTTGTTGCCAGAACAGACTAACAATCATTATTTAAGATAGGAACAGATGGTGTTGCCTTCTATTTACCCTCTCCTCACCATGAATGCAATTTTCAGCATGCTTTCCTGTTACAGTTTTAAAATACTGTTTTCCCATTATGTCACCTCAGATGCTTCTATCTATATACTATGTATAAGGTGTACTCCCTTACAAGCCTACCACAGCAGTTCATTGGCTACTTCACAGAGGTAGGATCATCCCCTCAACTGAGTCGATAGTTGCTCTGATCTTGCATTTCCTGCATAGTTTTCCTATTACAGAAGTATAAGTTTACAACTCAGCTGATTTTTTAAAAGTCGTATTTGTCTTTCTCTGAACCAGCTAGCTTTTCCCCTGGGCTTTAAAAAATAGAAAAGTCTAGCAATGAACCATTTCATTGCTTCTTCTGACCCTTGAAGTTAAAATGTTTTGCAGCATGGGAAGCAATGAAGCAAATGCCCATAGAAATATTTTAAAAATAAATCAACATTAAGTATGCAGTGAGAAGGTGTGGGACTTTTTATGAATTAATTTGGAAAGCATTAGTGAGACCTCTTTAGATCAGGGGTGTCAAACTGGCGGCCGGCGGGCTGGATGTATTATGTGCAGGCCACACCCACCCCAGCTCCGCAAAGGCATGACGCGATCAGGTTTGACACCTGTGCTTTAGATACTTAACTAATTTAGGGGGTGCACTCTAAAAAGCTGGCATGGCATGTCTTTGATATCTCTTAGTGTAATGAAGGCACGATAAGATATGGGGAATAAATCTCAGTATCTTAACTTAAGATAATGGTAAACAAACATTACTGGGCACAAGAAAAATGAGTCAGAGTCTTTCTGAGTACATCTTATTTCTTCTGTGAAAATTTCTGCAAGATTATTTTCATGAATGTTTTTCAAGTTAAACTATAAAAATTTATCATCTGGGTCTCATAGTGAAATATATATATTGGACATTTTAAAAGAGAGATATTCGCATGCAACTCAAACAGCCTAATGTTGTTTTGGAAATTACTGTACCATTTCTAAGCGACTAAGGAGAGCCTAGTCTTTCCTCCCTACTCTGTCTCTCCATCCTAGCTTTGCTGTAAGTGACATAGAATTTTTCATATGTTTACATTTCAATCCCTTTTTAATGCTTTACATATATTTGCCTGGAAAATGGCTTAAAAATAAATATTAGATAATTTCCCCATGGGAGCTACTTATGTAGTCTTCACTCCACTGCATTTATTTATTTTATTGTTTATTAATTTATATAATATATTTATTAATTTATATAATTTTATAGCCACCATTTCACCGAAAGCAATTCTGAGAGGCACAAAATAATCAAATAAAACAATAACAGTATAAAATATAAAAAGCTATGCTAATAAATATCATAAAAATGAAAGAGCTATATTAATTCAGAGCTTAACTGTCTCCTTACATTATTCCTTCTTCATGCTTTAACTTATTTCTTGCCCTGATTTTCACCCTTATTTTAAGGATATTTATCTGAAAATGTGTGGCTATATAAAGGCACATATCAATGCAAAGTTGTAACTGTTTTACATTCTAAATCTGAAAGTGCAAAATAAAATATATATCATGAAATTACACACCTTCTACAATTACCAAATAGAATAGAATCAAATAACAGAGTTGGAAAGGACCTTGTAGGTCATCTAGTCCAATCCCCCACCCAAGCAGGAGACCCTACACCATTTCTGACAGATGGCAGTCCAGTCTCTTCTTGAAAGCTTCCAGTGATGAAGCTCCCACAACTTCTGAAGGAATCTGTCTCATTGGTTGATTGTTCTCACTGTCCAAAAAATTCTCCTTATTTCTAGGTTGAATCTCTCCTTAATCAGTTTCCATCTGTTATTCCTTGTCTGGCCTTCAGGTGCTTTGGAAAATAGGTTGACCCCTTCCTCTCTGTGACAGCCCCTCAAATATTGGAACACTGCTATCATGTTTCCCCTGGTCCTTCTCTTCACTAGAATAACCATGCCCAGTTCCTGTAACCGTTCTTCAAATGTTTTAGCCTCCAGTCCCCTAATCACCTTTATTACTCTTCTCTGCACTCTTTCTAGAGTCTCAACATCTTTTTTGTAGTGTGGAGACCAAAACTGGATGCGGTATTCTAGCATCTTAGAATCTAGCATTCTTAGCTTACTAAGGCTTTATAGAGTGGCAAGTAACTAGGAAAAACAGCAAAGAAACTTTCAGCACTTTCACAAGTAAATTTATTGTGGTGTTCACTGTACTGGACTACAGAAAGTTTGTGTCATAATGAAATTAGTCTTTATAGCACTACAAGATTCTTTGCTGATTATGAAATTAATATTTATACAATAGATTAGGTAATGAAAATGTTATTTTCATTACCATGCCACATACATCTATTTCATTCTATCATAACAAGTTGTGTTTTTTACTCCTGAAAAATGCTGGCAGGCATGTAATTTCAATTCTATCTTCCTTTGGACCCGATTCCCTGTGTGCATGTTTGATCAGTTTCAATAGGCAACACACTGTATTAAAGAAATGATTTACATTAATAGGGACAGATACGGAAAATATAAGTCTTAGAGTCCTCAGTCAAATTATCTTGTATAGAACAAAGTGTCAAGGCAAACTGAATAAAGCAAATGTTTCCCTAGGTTCCTTTAATCAGGACGGAAATATATGACCTCTAGATGTACAATTGGACAATTTGTATACTTAATCTGAAAAGTCTGTAATGCTGTTTTAAAGAGCAGTGATAGCATTAAAACTCTCTGGCAAACAACTTAAGTTTTCCTTTTAAGTCTGAATCAAGACCAAAGGACTTTAGCTCCATGTCTTTCCCCAGAGTCAGCAAACTATAGCTAATACAAATAAAAGCCATTGATAACTACAAAGCTATGTTTTACCTCCATTAATAATTGAAATCACAAATGCTGCCATTTCAATTACTAATTGTAATTGTCCATTTTTTAAAATGAAAGTTTTTCCTGTTTGCATATGCCACCGTTCTAACTACTTTAATCCCACTATTCTCATCATCAAACTATAAAGAAATTCCTTCACCCCAAATCCAAATGAGTTCTTGAGACAAAATATCTGAGCTTGATGCTACTTTTCCTCTATTTGCAAAAAAAAAAAGGCTTGAATAGCCAGTAGCAGTTCTAGCCACCATAAAAACAACTAAACTGACACTTCAAAGGGGAATGAGGAAAAAAACATTCTTACAGCCCATCATCTGTGTAACCAACTTGATGTGGGGGGAGGGAACGGGGCCTCTGTGAGTCACTTTGCAGACTATTGAAAACTAGCTTTATATCTTCCATTTATGCTTAACATGAGAGGATAGACAGTATGCTCGATCTTATGAATATGACCAAGAGAGAGACAATTGACATTACCTACTTCTATAGATCTACAGATTTGCCATTTCTTCATACAAAAACATCATGCCAGTACCTAGAATTACCATTGCCTCATGGCCAATCTCAAGAGGGCAACATTAGTTCTGCTAATGGGAAATAGAATTCTATACTGTGTATATCATCATTCGTACCAATCCAAGGAAACTATAGCAGAAAAATAGAATAAGTAATTGTAAGAACTGATACCTTACTTAATGAAGAGATTAGTTTCACTACAAATTAATTTAAAAGGATTAATATAATAAAGGGGGCAAAATTATATTAGAATGTAAAAAAGGGACTTTACCAAATTTTTCTAGAATACGCTGATATACATATGTTCATAGCATGCCATGATTTAGATTACATAGATTCAGATCTATGATGTGTAAATTATCAGTCATGTTTTTCTCCTCTAATCAATTCAGTCAGCTCTGCACTGATAGCATTCTTGTAATTCATATATTCATATCTTTTAAGTTAAACATTATATAAAGATAATCTGAGATGTTTTCTTAAAAAATAATAAAACATCCTCAAAATTTATGAGCAATGGCTTCCCAGCAGCTTTGTAAAACTTGGAAAAATCAAGATCTTTAATGTTCTCTCTAGATAATTTTCAAATCAGTAGCATAATTGCTATTTTCTCTAATTCTATCTATCTATCCATCTATCTATGGTGAAATTTTGTGAATTGTTGCATTGGTAAATGAATAGTAGGATAAAAACAGTTTTTGCTGCACTGATATAAACTCCATCCTATGGCATCTATAATGGGAACATTGACCATCACCAGATATTATCCAGGACCGTAATGGAAAACAACCCTTAGAATTTGCAGTGCAATAACCTATAATTTACCTTGTCTGCCATGATCATAGAAGAGCCTCCGTGGATTCCTAGAATGGGTGTGAGGGTCTGGGCAGAAATGAAGTCCAGGATCTGGGCAATAGCTTCCTGGTCAGTATCATCAGCAAATACCACACCTTGCACCCTCCGTTCAGACATTATATCGCAGATGCGGGTGATGATACTCTTGGGATCTGTTTCATTCATGGCAACGAGTTCCACCCGAGGAATGAGAGAGAGGTGATGGAAATCATCCTTCTTGTGGGCATCTGTGATAGCTACTTCATCAGAGGTACCCACCAAGATGACAGCAATGCCAATGCTGGGATGGTTCTTTTGAGCCCAAGCCATACCACCTGTTGTTGCTAAGACTGCCAGCATAAGCCAGAATTTTGAAGAATAGCACTCTGCTCTGGGCCTCATCTTCAGCTCTTACACTCCCTGAAATGAGACAAAAATTAAAAGTTTCAATAAGATATATATAAATTACAGAGATTTAGGCATTTACATACATACACTGTTAGCCATTTACTTAAGGAAAGAGCTGTGGTGGCACAGTGATTAGAATGCAGTATTACAGTCTAATTCTGCTGTCAGCAGTTTGATCCTGAGCGGCTCAAGATTCACTCAGACATTCATCCTTCCGAGGTCAGTAAAATGAGGACCCAGATTGTAAACCACTCAGAGACGGCTGTAAATCACCATGAAGCGGTATATAAGTCTAAGTGCTACTGCTATTGCTATGGAGATACAGATTATTGGTCTATACAGATCTACATTTTTTACTTTGAGTGACAGAAACTTTCCAAGGTTTCCATGCTTTTAGTTATAGCCAAAACTATTACTTGTTTCAGACTTCAATAATCATCAAGGAATTTTTTTTAACTTTACTCTGTGGATAAGAGTATATGGGGGGGGATTAAAGTTCTGATCAGGAAGAAAACAGTCAAACATGTAGTCACCAACTATTGTTTCACCTTAAAATCATATGCTGAGACATTAATGTCCTCTGGTGATCCTGGTGAAATTATTTTAGCTACAGCTCTAGATTATAATTAAATTTATTTTTGCCTTGGCTCCCATTTGTTTTTCCAAAAGAACTTGCCAGCAGCTTCCCCTCTCCTAGAATAATTCAAAAATGAGATAAGAAAGAATCCTGTGGCAATAAAATGTCTCTCCTATCAACTTGGTGTTCCTTCAAAAAAGTTTGAGCTATTCTTGTTTTGATAATTTCAATTATAAATTGTCCCAATAATTTTAATTATTAATTATAAAAACAAATTAATACTTTCACAATATGGAATGGTAGTGAAAATGTCTTTTGTCAATACTGATTTTCTTGAAATAACAATCCACTGCTTCAAGGTCAGTTGTGTTTCTTATTTTCTTTTTAAGATCTGGTACTGGTTGCCTTAGTCTCAAATCTTAGGACTGGTAGGCTTCAAGCTAATGGAAGAGCTGATATATACTGATTCGTGCCATTTTAAACAATAAAATGATGAAGACCTATGAGGTCATCAGTGCAACCCTGCTCATGCCACAGCTCTCCCTTTATCTTGTTTTAATAGCATTCAGCTCTTTTCATCTGCAAAACACAGCTAATTAATTCTTGTAGTACCTTAGTAGCATATATATTGTTATCATTGTTTTCCACATCTAAAAATCATAGCATTGAGGTTTACCTTGTACATTTTACTTCTTTCATCAGTAAAAAATAGTAGTACCTGGCATGTAATCTGATGCTCAGACCATAGATCCATGTTACTTACTTTGCTAATATGAAATCCTGAAATGATTGGAAAGTAGTTTATTCAGATCTAAAACCTGGCCTAATTCTCCTTCTGTGATGATTTATAATATATCACAAGTGCTCAGATTATCATTAAATTATAAAAGCTCTTTTCTTTCAATTGCATCAGAAGTTAAGAGCTCAGGGCAACTTGCATAATCTCTTTGATTATAATCCATCCCTAGATTCACCATTATATTCCAGAAAAATATCAAGAGACAGAGGGGAAAAATTACTGACTGCATTGAAGGGAATATCTTTACTAATAAAGTAAGTGAGAGAAACCTAACACAGTTTTGTATTTCATTTAGTTTAAATAGAACTAAGAAAGTTGCTGCCCATGCAGTAACATCAGTACGGATATAGTCCATTATAATAAAATAGTCCTAGAGCACAGATGTCAAACTTGCGACATCACATGGTGTGTCATGACGTATCACGACTTTTTCCTATTGCCGGCAATGGGATGGGCGCGGTTTTGGCATAACGCATCCAGCCCGTGGGCCAGCAGTTTGATACCATTGTCCTAGAGGATGCTCTCACATCATATGGTCACAGCGCTCCCAATAAAAATATTCTGCACAATCCATCTGTCTTCTCCTACTTAATGGATTTTCTCTGATGAGATTGGTAGAAAAATATATAGGAATGGTTTCCAAGTGGAAGACAATGATATATGGACACTTGTAAAATTCCTTGTTCTGTTTTACAACAGAAATCCCATCAGTCAGCAGTGATCATGTTAGTGGTACTAAAGTTACACATACGTATGAAACTCAGTGCTCTTAAAAATTATTATCACAATCATTGAGCTATCATTAGACAAATTATCATTGGACAAATGGGTAAATTTGACAAATAAATAAAAACAGTAAATTTGACAAATAAATGAAAACAAAATCGGAACAGATAACAGATATTACTACTACTTTACTATTTCAAACAGGGATCAAATCCACTTACCAAACATGAAAGGAAAGAGTGCATGAAATATCTACTGACTTCTCCAAACAAAAAGACCTTGAGAATCTGACATAATTTATTGCTAATTTGATTAGGCAGAACTGTTGCCATTAGATTGGTTGGTTGATTAATTATATGCCATCAAATTATGTCAGGGTTTAATTACCACATAGATAGACCTGCTTTGGTTATCAGTTCCTAAACTAGCCCTTCAAATCTTACCATTGTGTACCCATTGCTTCTAGAATCAAACCCGTTTATCTATTTTCTTCCACCTTTCTCTGTATTATACACTTGTTCGAATAATGTCTCTATGTATGATAATTTGAGCCTGATCATTTGTACCTCAAATGAGCTCTGAATTAATTTGTTCTATGGTCCATTTGTTTACTTTCTTGGCCATTCATGGTATGCTTGGGAGTCTTCTTCAAAACTACAGTTCAGAAGCATCACTTTACTTCCTTGGAATGACAGAGGAAAACTACTGCCTACATGATTCTGATCTTTGTAGATACAGACATGTCACTGCATCTGAATATCTTTTCCAAGTCCTTCATTGCTAAGCTGCAATTGCTCATCTGTATGCTATTTCTTCACATGTTGTTCCTTTACTGTTGATAATCAATCATAAACACTGAAGCCATCCACTTCTTTAATATCTTCATTGTGTGTTTATTTTTTAATTATTTTATTTTTAAATGTATATAGCAACAATTTTAATCAATACCTCTTGATGGATAACAAAAAAAAGCATAAACATAGTATAAAAAATAAAAGGCAACCAATTAAAAAGCATAGTCAAGGCACCCTTACAAAATCTCTAAAACATAAACCTGTCAAGTGCCAGGAAAATCAGGAAATCCAGACAGTTCAAATGGGTATAAAGATCTCTGGACTTAGATTTCTTGTGGATGTTGAGGGACTCATGACTGATGATGTGTTTGACCCCTCCCTCTGTCTCAGCCTGGTCATTTCCTACAAAACCACAAGCTCACATACTGGGCTCTAACACCTAGGAGGAAAACCAAGTTCTAAAAGGCCAGTAGGGTTGGGGCCATCCAAATCTCAGAGGAGGGCTGTTTCATAGGGCAGGTACCCCAAAGAGAAGGTATGGCCAATCCCTTCACTAGAGCATGCCCACTCTGCCAGATCTGGTGGGATGAACCAAAACTACTAGAGACAGGCAATCCTGCAAGTAACCTGTCCCTGCCATTTAGTCCTTTAAAGATAACAACCAGTACAATGAATTACACTGAGAAACTTACTGGAAAACAGAGCAGCTCACATAGCATTGATGTTACATTGGCATATCATGGTGCATTCAAAATTACATGTGTCACAGCTTTCTGGACTATTTGAAGCTGCCAAATGCTTTTCAAGGACAGCCCCACGTAAGCACATTACAGTAGTCCAGATAGAAAGTGACTAAGGCACCGGTGACTGAAAGCAGTCCTCTCAGTTAAGGAATAGGCTCAAGTGGCACAAAATGATTTTGTGCATGTAAACCAATACACAAGATAGGAAAGGGGTGAGTTATCAGTGTAATGTTATCAGTGTAGCACAGGGCATTGATATTTCTTCCTTCAGTTTAGAAACCACTCTCATTTTCTTCCAATTTAGTCTTCCTCAATATATATTCAGAAGGATGGATGGATGGAGGGAGGGAGGGAGGGAGGGAGGGAGGGAGGGAAGGAGGGAGGGAAGGAGGAAGGAAGGAAGGAAGGAAGGAAGGAAGGAAGGAAGGAAGGAAGGAAGGAAGGAAGGAAGGAAGGAAGGAAGGAAGGAAGGAAGGAAGCAAATACAGCCTTGCTTCACTTCTTTCCTGACTGCAGACAATCTCTTTTTCTATACATTGTGGCTACTTGTTCTGTACATGGATGAGAACAACGATGTTCTGGGATTTCTTTTTCCTAAGCACATTCCAGTTTGACATGGTTGACACAATCAAAGGCCTTTCTATTGTTAATGAAACACACACTGACTTCTTTTGGTATTCTTTGTCCTTCCCAATTATTCAGTATGTATCAGCAATAATGTGTCTTGTTCCTCTGCATTTTCTAAAACCGGCTTGAATATCTAGCATCTCCCCTTCCTCTGTAGTACTCTATTTTGCATTACATAATCTTAAGCATTTTTTATGCTACAATGTGATATTAAAGATATTTTATAATAGTTTGAACACTCTGTTAAATCTTCTTTCTTTAAAAATGATATGTAGAATGACCTCTCCCAAATCTGTTGACCACATGTCATTCTCCAGATCTGCTGGCATAGTTTGGTTAGAACCTTTACTGATTATTCCCCTTTTGCTTGCCATATTTCTATAGATATTTCATTAATTCCTATACTCTTCTGACTTCATAATAACCAAAGTGCTAATCTAGTTTTATCTTCTAGTAGTTGTAAATAAGGAATATCTTTTAAGACAACAGTCCCTAACCTTTGCAGTTTGACAGCCTGGCTGGGGCAGAGAGGAGAACTGGCATGCATGAGTGGTGGGCTAGTGTGCATGTGTGTGATTGCCCTCTGGCCTGCCACTTGTGCAAGTTGAGCTGAGTGCTGGCCAGCCATCCACACAGCCCAATTCCGAATAGGCTGTGGCCCAGAGATTGGGGACCCCTGTTTTACGACATCTTGGGTGTTGACATCTCTACTGTATAAATTTTCAATGTACGCCTATCTTATTTGA